GGAAGCGGGCGCCTCAGCGCGGCACTGGTGGGAGGTGCTGCTGAGCCGTCCTCACGAGCCCGCGCTCGCCGAGTTCGCTGCTCGAATAACTCGGATGGAAGACGAGCAGTTCATGATACAGAGCAGTGAGTCGCATGCACCCGTTGTCCGTGAAGTTGAATGATTTATGTTCTGTATGCTTTACCCGCATATGATTAGACGTACGGGTTAATGTCTGGGCGCATGTGTATATATGATGGAATGTGGCGATTCATTCATTTTATTTGTCACCCGCACACAAAATTAAGAGCAAAGCTTCATGATTGTTTGGCGACGCAAGATATCCTGTGCCAATTTGGAGTTATGCTTATTTACTAGGTCTAAATAATGAAGCGTGTAATCTCACGTGGCGACTGATAAATCGATCCATTTTACGTACATCATTTTTCGCATTGCTACTTTGTTGGGAGTTATTTCATACCATTACCCTTTGGTTAACACGGCGAATTGGAACTAAAGCATTACTGATCAGTTGTGAAAAACAATACTGACTTTAAAATATATATTGTAAATAATTACCGTGTAAAAAATCTGAATAAACTGCTTCTGCAGCGCGCGACCTGGAAGCGGTTGCAATGATGCTGCCTTACGCGCAAGACACGCTCGTCAAAGTGAAGGCTTCGTTAGAAGCTCTGAGAAGCCCAGCTTGGGAACAGGTTTTAAAGCATCATACCGGAATAATGCATCTGGAAATTCTGGACATGAGCCCTGATTTTGCACCATGTGATGACGTGCTGCAGCCTCTACTCAGCACCAGGTAAATTATACGCTATATTGTCCGCTCATCTTGCGAGGTTCGAGTAATTTGTCCGTAATATCCCAATAACTTTCAGGTTTTTACCAGTATTCAATCTCACCAATAATTCTAAGTTTACAGGAAAGAGTTGCCATATCTTTTACTGTAACGAGCCTTGGCCTCATATTGTGCACGACATGCAACGAGCTATACACGACATGTATTTTAGAGCTCGTGTTTGCATGATTGAATCTTGGAACTGGAAAAAATAGGATGATTCGTGCGCGGTTCCTCAATAATAATTGCCTCCGATTAGTATCCTCAATTCTAATCGTATTGAGGATACATTATTTACAAATATTACCTGACTCGGGGAACTAATCTTAAAGGTATCACGGGGTATAGCGCTAAACGTAGGTTAAATAGAAAATTTTATATCAAATTCATCTTGAATTCAAGAAGTCAAAGCTTTACTAAAGACATGGACAATGAGTGTTCAATAATCGTTTATTTCAAAGATCATAGCAGAGGTTGAATGGTTGAATCAAAATCAAAGCTGGTCTAGAAATTAAATTTACGTTCAGTTCAAACAAATTATTACTATTCCAGTATAGGTTAAATTATCGAGAATTGTCAGAACTGTAGAATTATCGTGGCCGAGCAACACAAGGATTTCCTGTTAATATATTGTATGCAGTATCTCTCCTTGGAAATTTTTGCAATGCATCGAGGGCAAGAGTTTATACAACGGGTCTATCCGATAGTTTTTCTAATATTAGAACTAAATCTTCTAAATTGTGAAATAAATTGTGAAAAATGATTTCGTAATGAAACTTCCATGGATAAATCCCGTTAAACCGCTTCGAGCTCAGAGTTATTCAAAATGAAAAACATTTTGCTTCCTTACTATTCTAGGGCGACTTCTGAAATGTGGGACACCCATCCAATCTTGAGTTAGATTCCAATTGCTTCCTGCTCATTTAGTTCCAACTCTCACATATTCTTAACTACCTACAGTTCCAGGATCAAAAGTTTCCAGGGGCACATCAGGACGGAGGCAGGCATCGCGGCGCTGGCTTCAGCGGCCGCGGCTTCAGCGTCCATACACATCAGGGTCGAGGCGCCGCTCAACCTCAGCGCACTGCACGGGAAATACGCTGAACTGCGTCAGTATTCTCAGTGGGAGATGCCAGCACACATCAAATGTATTAATGTGTTAGTGAACAGAGTGGAACTTCATAAGTCGCTCCTTTGGGGGGAATTTTATTCTGCCTTTTTAGCATCTGAATTGCCCGTTCAGCTTCTGCTGTCAGAATGGCTTCATGACCTCGCTTCTCTCTACTGTCTGAATAGAATTTTGCTCCTAAACTCGATAGAGCGCAAGAATTTTACAATCTAATGGTAGCAGTTATATCACTGTATCTCGAATAATTGTAAATATACTAACAAGATGTCTACGTGCTGTTGTTGAACGATTTAATCGCTAAACGATGAATTTACATGCGAGTGATGTTGACTCAAGCACCTGTCATTGCAGTTTATTTTACGTCCCCTCAGGCTAAAAGTTCTCTCAATTTTGGGGACGGTCTTAATGAAGAATTGCGACCGTACGCATAGGAAAAATTTTTTTTGTCAACAAGGGGAGACGCCCATGATCGAGGCTTACGAGACATTTCTAGTTTAGTTTCCCTTCACTACAGGCCTTCGTTCATAATGGAGTTAATTAGGCTTTGAGTTATTTCATTTCATTTTCCTCATGCACAGTGCACAAACGTTGCGTTAAATACTTAAATTGGCAAGATAATTTAATTCCATGTTTCCCAACAGACGTTTGCACGCCCGTACTTGACACGGCTGTTGCAGCAGCGCCTCTACCAGCCCTGCCTTCTCCCGTGCTGCAGGTTCTCAGCCCCGGTGCTGGCACCTGGGAGGCCGTAGTCAGGACGGTGCTGACTTATGCACCAAGATGCAAGAAGTTAGTCGATTTATTGATTTGACGCGTTTATTTTTGTGGCATTCCATGGTTTATTCACACGTCACGGAAAAATAACTTCAATATTGGACAAGCATGAACATAAATGAGCAAAATTTATCACAATGACTGCTACTGGGCTTAAAAGTTTTCATGGGAAGTGCTAATGTGAAAGCCATCGAAAAATTTGGACTGCCATCTTATTAGCGACTTGTTGCGAAAAGTTGCAACACAAGAGTTGAAAAGTTGTTGCGAAATTACTTGGTGGGGAATGCTGCAACAAATGTAATGCTACTAAAGAGAATCTTCAAACGAGAATCTTCAGCTAATTATACTCATGGATGTGGTTGCATGCAACAGTTTTTGGGCCTGGTTTCATACTATGGATTGTGCTTTAGCTGAGTTAGTTCAAAATCCTCATTTTTCTTTTGGCACAAATTTTGTCGGTTGAAATTATCCGACTAAACGGAATCACAATTTACGCCCAAGAGAGCTGCTGATTTTCATTCCTTTTCAGTGCATTGTTTTAGTATAATTTTTTTAATTTCATCTCGTATCTGATCACAGGTTCTGGGGAATTGAGCTGCGGCAGTCTGCGCTAAGCGAGGAGGAGGAGCGACTGCTGCTGTTGACCCTGCACGAGAAGAGGCTGAGGACCAACGATGCTGGCATCACACGCGCCGAGCCTAATGGGTATGGACGTAAGCTGGGGCTGCTCGAGCTTCTCATTCTTGTACCTAATTAAACATTATTCCATAAGCATGTCACCCAAACGATGTTACCAACAGTTATTTATGTGCCAAAATTAACCATTTGACTCGCTGCTTCAACCCTCCTTTGCATCCACAGTTAAGTCCAAGAGTAATTTATCCCCAGTTTCATAGTTTCGAAATAGATGGTACAAAGGATCTTAGCATGAGTTTTTGTGGCGTTGAGATGACTTTATTGAGAAGACAATATGGGGTAGCAGTGATACTTAATTGCAGGTAGTGGCTATTCGTGCCATAGACAGCGACGGGACGATGGTATCCAGCTCATGTTGCCTGCCGTTAAGTCGCATAGTAATTCCACAGAAAATTTTTTTGTGTCGAAGAGTCGACAATCATATAAGTACTATGCCTGAACTCTCATTTCTTGTCTAATGTAAGTATTTTTCCTTCATCCTGTCCTGTCATCCTTCATCCCTAATATTTTCATAAAAGGCATGTATGCAATTATTTGTAATTGCATATCGTTTTTACCACTAATATTCCGCGTTAATTATTCTGCTTCATTTTTGCCTTGTTTCCTACACAATAACACAAACAATGAACATTTAGGAATCTTGTATTATTACTTATCTATCAAAGTATTTGCATGAAATTTCAACGCCATAAAGTTCCATACGAATATTCCACTATTACCGTATTAATTTTAAAGCTCTTTCTCATAATTCTTATATTTTTTCTCAATAACTTAGAATATTGGATAAAATCATAAATTCACATGTGTGTTGAAGAATCTCCAATGATTAGCAAATTATTCGGGAGATGTAGCGTTAAAGAAGGCTTTATTGTTCTATGGGATATAAAGCTTCATTGAGAAATTGTTAGTGTGAGAAAATACTTGGTTTATGCGCAGGCATTGTGAGAGATAGAACGCTTGGTCCGATATTCTGTAGTGTTGATGGGGTTCAAGTGGGGGCTAACTATAACTAAGGCAGTGATGGGAAAATTTATCTATTACGGTCGTCCTGATAAACGATTAGGTGTTGACACTTTGGTTTTAGATACGGGCTAGACGGGTTTTTGAAGGCGACGTTGTTTATTCAGGGAGGATTTATTTTAAGTAATTTGGGACTTGGAGGGGCTTTACCAAAAACGTTATGAGGTTGGGTGAAGCATTTGCTGCAGCGCTGTGGAGGTGGTGAATCCAACTGATCGTCGCGGTGGAGTTAGGTATCACACCATACGTAATCTGCATGTAACTGTTCAGAGGAATGGTGTGGCCCTGTTTACTGTTGGTGTCTTGTGCAGGTGGCGACATAGCTCTAATGGCTTCCATTTTTTATCAACAGTGCACACCGAAGGCGAATCCGTCTCTGTGAAGATCCTCCAGCTATTTATTCTCCGTGATAAGCGCCCAGGGAACAGGAATGAACCGACCAGTTTAGGCTCGAAAATGCCTGCTTTGGTGGGACAGTTAATTGCCGGTTAATAATGAGTAGAAAATATTGAGCGCACAGTTTGGTACTCAAAGGAATGTCTATTTTTCTATTTGTGGCACCTATGATGTCACTCTGGCATCGAATGGGAGAGGTCCATATACGTGGTTAAAATTTGTGAGACGTTAATTAGATGTAAAGAGTATTTTGACCGTAGCTATAATATGTAACTTAATTGCCCTGATTTTAATTATTTCGACTGTTGCACGAACATCAGAAAACTTCCTGTGATACATCAAAATATGAAAAGATGACAGAGCTAGTGCACGGCCGGGCATTCAGAAAGGATATTACTTCTTTTGTCCTCCTTGTATTGCGCTAATATTCACCCTCAGGTGCCGTTAATGGTTGTTTATTGCACATTAATTACTGTTCATGTCAGTGACGGGCCTTAGATCCCATGCTGCACACGCTGCGTGTGTGTGAGTGGCTTCAATTTGTAATGAGAAACGGAAGAATTGGAAGAGGTGATCAGAACAGAAACAATTGAATAACAAGAGGGTACGAAAAATTGAGCTAGACGAAAATTTTTGTCGCCTAAAATTGTGCTAGGAGTCTTCCGTACTGTTATTATTATTATATGTTTTTTGAGATCTGGATTTTGGTTATAAGTTTTTTTCGTTCTTACTTCTAGTGTTATGATAAAAAGAGAACGACTTTTTGCATCATTAATTTGGTAGTTTAAATTGGAGATTTTAATTTGTAAATATGATTTTCGCACATTCACCTGACATGGCGATATTTAAAAATGTAAATAATAGGAATCATAGTTTAGAAATAATATGCGATTAAAATTACTTTTAGAGAAAACACTTACTAAAGAGTCCAGTGTCACTGATGTTACATATGTACAATGAATTTCTAATTGTATACTCATATATTTAAAAAATATAATTTTCATGTTATTTTAATATTACACAAAAATAAGTGTACAAAATAATTTATTCTGTCAATTGATTCATGCATTGTCTCCGACTTCACGCAAGTGTGTGAAATTTCAGGTCGATTGAACATGTAGAAGTGTCTTTAATATCGATTATAAGATTTGTAGCAGACAAACAAGAAATGAAGTTAAAGAGAAGTGTTGTAATCACTTAAGATGGTTAGGTGTGAAGTCCAGGGGAGGAGCATTTTATTGTAATCGCTCCTATTGCTCGGCTGTCATGTCGTGTGCTAGGATATTTCCATTTTCTGATAGCCTAATAGCAGGAGGGTTCTAGCAAAGTTAGGGTATAGCCCCTATTTATATAGAATTCAAGTCGCCATTGTTTGTGGTGTTTCTCGATTAGTGAATTTGGTTTTCAGCATGTATTTTATACAATTTTTAATTTGTTTGCATAGCTAATTTTAAATAAATTTTCTTTGTTCTCATTGCTTTTTATGTGATATACGATGATGTTAATGGAGGTGATGATGATAATCATGATTGTCAGGGGCTTGATCACTCAAGATTAGAAAGATGGATTACCATTTCATTCTCTAAAATTACTTAACATGTTTGTCACTGATATTAAGTGCAATTCATGCGTGTTTCGTTACTGCTTTAGTCATTGTCGCGTCATTCAGGCGGCGTGAGTTGAGCGCAGCTCGTGACGGCCTATACTGGCGCCGGCGAGGTGGATGGCAGTCGGAATAAATATTGTTAATTTTGATGAAGATATTTTAAATGATCGAATTCTATCCCTAAACTACCCAAGTAAGCCACGGAATGGCAAACCACCCTTCTCATTGCTGTCCAGTCGGTTGCAGATTTCGTGCGTTAGAGATTACTTTGTACATGAGAGAAAATGAAGAGTTTTCAGGGCCTATGATTCTCTTAATTGATTGCTGTCTTTTAGGGTACAAGTATATGAAACTGAAAATGAAATGAAATTGCTTTGAAAATGTGTGAAATGAAAGGGTTATAAAAATAAACGCTGCAACGTATGCAGTTATCCAACTTGGTAGGGATCGGAACCAAGAAGCGATATTACAAGACGTAGATGTAATGCTATAGCGAAGCTTGATAAGACGGTGGAAAAAACTGGGGATCATGTTGACAAGGTCATAAAGTTTTTGAAAACATTGACACGGATAAATAAACTAATATACAAAAATGATCAGACGTTATTACGAGAACTTAGATGCAAAATATTTGAAGCTGTTGTTTGTCACAACAGCTTCAACAGCTTCCCGCAACTGGAATTTGAAAATTACAAAAAATTTAAAATGCTCAAAGGGCAAGTCGCATGATGAAAGATGTAGAACAGAGACGTAAAGGCAACGGTAACAAAATCGTCGAAATTAAATTAATTTTTATTTTTGCATCACAAAAGCCGACCTGCCTAACAAAATTCAGGGACCGGCCAGGCTTCTGCCGAATAGTCACCATACTGGACGCAAAGTTATTCTGGATATGCTTGGTCACTCGATCGAAATCAGCTTCTGGTTCAAAATCTCATTTCAGACTTTATAGTCGCCTGAGAGTATGACGAGGGTTGGCCGAGCCGAGTCATACCGAGCTAGCAAGCTGCCCAGAGGCTGCCCATCGAACCCTGAGCCTGTGAAGATACGTCAGGTGCGTCTGGCAGCGCACCGCAGAAACGCGCTCGATTGATTTATTCCAGTGGTTCCCAAACTTTTTCACGTTGGCGCCCCCTTTGGCTCCCTAGTGAATTTCTAGCCCCCCCCACGGACATACGCCTCATTCTTGAAATGTAGTACGGTTCAATTTTAAAAGACAAAGGTTAAACACAAATGTGTTTTTCACAAATAGAACCCCATTTAGTGAACCAATATTTTCAGCTGTTTTAGCTGTTTCAGCACTAGAAACCTAGGACATCGCGGGCGAATTTACGGTCGGACTCATGGAGGTCTCACGACCAATCTCCAAATTCAATTAGCAAGTAATATCTCCCAAACTAATGAACGCAGCTCTTTGAAACTTGAAACACGTATCCATCAGAACCTAACGGTGATGTTCAGCTCGTAATTTTTTTTATTTCACCTTCATTCGTGAGTTAGGGCACGCACACAGTGAAACCTGCCTAACAAAATTCAGGGACCGGCCAGGCTTCTGCCGAATAGTCACCATACTGGACGCAAAGTTATTCTGGATATGCTTGGTCACTCGATCGAAATCAGCTTCTGGTTCAAAATCTCATTTCAGACTTTATAGTCGCCTGAGAGTATGACGAGGGTTGGCCGAGCCGAGTCATACCGAGCTAGCAAGCTGCCCAGAGGCTGCCCATCGAACCCTGAGCCTGTGAAGATACGTCAGGTGCGTCTGGCAGCGCACCGCAGAAACGCGCTCGATTGATTTATTCCAGTGGTTCCCAAACTTTTTCACGTTGGCGCCCCCTTTGGCTCCCTAGTGAATTTCTAGCGCCCCCCACGGACATACGCCTCATTCTTGAAATTTAGTACGGTTCAATTTTAAAAGACAAAGGTTAAACACATATGTGTTTTTCACAAATAGAACCCCATTTAGTGAACCAATATTTTCAGCTGATTTAGCTGTTTCAGCACTAGAAACCTAGGACATCGCGGGCGAATTTACGGTCGGACTCATGGAGGTCTCACGACCAATCTCCAAATTCAATTAGCAAGTAATATCTCCCAAACTAATGAACGCAGCTCTTTGAAACTTGAAACACGTATCCATCAGAACCTAACGGTGATGTTCAGCTCGTAATTTTTTTTATTTCACCTTCATTCGTGAGTTAGGGCACGCACACAGTGAAAGCAGGTTGCCAGCGTGCTGGTTACCTGCTCAGGCTGGCGCCTGAAACCATAAAAAACAGAAGCCTATTCGTACAGGTTTTCACCGTGAACACTTACATTATTATCCTATGTTCATTCTTGTGGCAGGTTGGAGCAGGTTGCATGCGCGGGCAAACCTGCTTTCACTGTGTGCGTACCCTTACGCGTATATTGTGAAATAGGCTGGAATTTATTCTTTCTTTATTCACGCAGGAGCATACAAAAAAAAATTCATAACAAGAAAATGGCAAAAATTTGGAGAAAAAAATACAAAATGCTTCCATATGAATGCCCATATAAGCTAAAAAGCTTCACAGGCGACATTACAATTGAAAAACAATAACATATAATGACGATAGGATAAGACAAAAGGGAACAGAAAGTGACTAAATTGAAAACATCCTGATCAAAATTAACCTTTAGTAGGTATAACTGATATATGAATAACTGGCATGGCAACTAAAAATGATATTCAACAAAGGCAATAACAACCCTACCCAAAAAAATTAAATACAACTAAGACCAAAAGTCAAAACAATGTTGACTTACACCATATTATTTTTCAAAAATATTATTGAGAAAAGGCAATTACCAAAAATCTTACGAAACCAATCAGAGTAAAATTAATAACGAGTAAGAATAAAATCGCGGAATTTAGTCTTCAAACTGAATTTAGAACAATTAATTTTAAAATCATCAGGTAATTCATTAAAATATTTCACACAATTAAAAACTGTACCGTTTCTTTCAATTTCCAAACGAACCGGGGGTAAGTTAAAACGCATGCCCCTGGTGTCATGGGGATGTAGGGGAACAAGAGAGGCGAATGCAGAATTAAAAAGACGTTCATCGTGGAAGAGTGCCCTATTCATGAATTTTAAAAGCAGAAATTTGTACATATCGTCAAGTTTTAAAATTTTCGACTGCATATATAATACAGTAGTACGAGTCAAAGGGATATTGTTTTCATCATACCTAACCCGAAATATAGTACGCAACGATTTATTTATTAATGTGATGACGCGTTTTTTAGAATTAGAAGATACCCCACCCCATATGACCAACGTGTTCGACAGTTTAGATACGGAAATTGAGTAGAAAAGCGTTCATAGTGATGGAAGAGGTATAACACTTGATAGAGCACGCAAAAAAAAAACACCGTGGGCTCTACTCAGCCCCTGACAGACGTAGGCAATGTGTTTATTGTAGGAAAACTTATTGTCGATTATTAAACCAAGATATCTAAAATCATCGACCCATTCTAAAACTGTCCCATTAAAAGGGATTTCGCGTGGAAAGGAAACGGGTCTGTGAGTAAAAAGCATCAACTTAGTCTTATCAGTGTGAGCCACAAGCCTATTTTTCTTGAGCCACCCTGACAAATTCACTNCAGGTAGATGAACGCTCTCCATATAGAACTCGTGTTTTTCTTGCGTTTCAGCGGAGGTAATTAATGACGCTGTCTATAAAATCACTGCCTACAAAGTAGCAAGGCGAGAACTGTTCCGTTTGCTTGAGCAGCCTCTGTGAGATGTGGGAATAGTTTAGTTTAGTTTAGGATAAAGTTGCTCGTCGCGTTATCTATAATCTGTCTGTGATTTTCAGGGACTATTTTCAGACATTGAATTCCGATAGTGTATTACATAAATTATGCAGTGCTATTATATAGTATTTGTTAACATATATAGTATTATATTATATAGTATAATATTTATACTTTTAGTTACATTCCCTAGATACACCGGTATTTCTGATGAGTTATTGCAAGTTCATCCGCTGAGAAACTCCTATGCCATATGTTTTGGGCTTGGTAAAAGACGCCGATTATGCAGTGCGTGTTTACTGATTATAGGAGAGTTATTTTCCGGTATTGAAAGTATCAATTAAAATAAGAAAGGCTAGTGCTGTCTGCCATAAACAAATTACGTTACGAAGCCGCGGATATTATTATCTTCCGGTCACGAAGAAGCACAAACCGAAATAGGATATTTGCTTCGCTCATTATTATTATTTCAGCACTGGATTTTTACTTCTCGATCGTTCAATTATCCGTAATGGAAATAATCATCGACTACATACTGTATTAATGGATATACAGGGTGCG